ATGGAAAATAGAAATCTCAGGTCTTATTCTTGTAACATCACAGTTGTACTGTTTTTTCTACAAAATGCTTGTGCATGTAGATTCAGAAATTGCGTGATGAATATTCAGAAAACAACCAGAGCAGATGAAAAAAGAGCAAATAGAAATGGCAGGAAACCTGAAATGCCATTGGCTCAGTGCTGTGGTGAAGAGCAGCAGTGTTTTACTAAATGTAGTCATTGAGTCCAACAAGGCCATGGCAAATTTTGGTGAAAACTGTCCATTTTCTGACACAGTACAGTTGGGTGACTCTGGCTGTTGGGTTGTGGTCCGCATCGTGTCATGTTGGAAAGAGTACGTACAAATAAAAAAGTGTTAATATGGAGATCCCTTCACAGGGATCTGTGGAGAGCCCTATGGGAAAGAAATTATGCATATAGTTAAAACAGCAAGCCGGTGATTCACTGTTAGTAGCAAAAATCAGATTTTTGGTGGCTTTGTTAACCTTAAGACTTTAATATAAAACATGTTACAGCTCGATCTCAAATGCTGATTAGGTTTTCCTACCTCTTGCAGAAAAGAAAAGAATAGGAGAGCTTTTGGAGGATTTCTACCCAATCCGCTGAGGATTTCTCCAGTGGCGACACATCACAGGATGAATTCATGCCACACCAGGAACGTTGGCAGTGTGGCTGCAACTGTTGAACCGTCCATGGCTTGGGAAGTGAAGCTTTACTCGCTTTCATGTAATAAAAGCTTGATTAAATGCTTTGTGTTTAATTATTTGTTCTTCTGTTAAGGTGTGTCAATATGTGGGTGACTGATGTTTGTAACAGGATAATAACTTTGATTTATCCCTTTTTCAGTTGTTTTAATTGTGAGAGTGGGAGATTGTTCACACAGCAAATATTTTAAAAATCCCAGAGTGTAATTGTGTAAGTTCCTCCTTTTTATTTCTCCTGACCCTTGAGCATGCACTTGACCAGCCCCTGAAGCTGCTGCAGCCAAAGTCTTGCTGTGAAATTAGTTCTGAACAGCTAACAAAAATATATGCACTTCCTAATTAGTTCCCTCTCTATGTTTTGCATTCTTATGTTGCTTTTTCTTTTCTGGCGATGAGGATCCAACCTTTCTGCTTTCTCACTCGGTTGTTGCCTCCTGAATCCACATACTGAATGCAAACATGTTCCAGATGGGCTGTGGAACTGCAGCTCTTACCAATGTCACTGCAGGGTGCTTGGCACCTCTGGGGTTAAAACACTTCCAGTTGAGGATGCTCCAGTTGTGAGTTTTTTGTCTAATTACCTTTTTTTGCTGGGTTTCAGCATCTGCCCTGCTTCCTCCTGCAGTGCCTCTGTCCCTTTGCACGTTTGGTGAGACTTTCTGCTCTGTGCAGCGTCTCAAAGCTCTTACTCAAGCACCTCTTCCCTGGGGAGGCCTCTGGCCGTGCCCTGGGTGCTGTTCCCTCACCCCTGCTGCCTGCCTGTGCTGTACAGAGGGATGGGACAGTTGGATACCTCTCAAGGGTTTGATTTTTCTCCCGGGTGATGTTCCAGCAGAACTTGAGAGCTCCTTGGATTGCCTGGTGGAAGTGATTGCACCAGCCACTGTTTGCAGCCACTGCCTCTCCTTGCTCTGCCCATCCCTTGTGGGCCCTCCTCACCCAGAGAGACTGGGATGAGTGTCCCCCTGGGCAGGAAGATGTCTTTGCTGAAAGCTGGTTACATTAAAAAGGGAAATGACAATCAGATGGATTAAATCACTGATTGACAGAATGGGTAAAATGGGAAGGGACCATTGAAGGTCATCTGATCCAACCGCCCTGCTTAAGCAGGGTCCCTGAGAGCGTACTACTCAGGATTGTGTCCAGATATGTCTCCTGGGAAGGAGACCCAAAACTTCTCTGGGCAACCTGTTCCAGTGCTCAGTCACTTGCACACTATAAAAGTTCTTCCTCATGTTAAGGTACAACTTCCTGTGCATCCGTTTCTGCCTGTTGTCTTCTGTCCTATTGCTCAGCACCACAGAGAAGAGCCTGGATCCATTCTCTTGGCACCTCTCTTCAGACACAAATATACGTTGATGAGATCCCCTCTAGGTCATCTCTCAAGGGTAAACAGGCCCAGCTCCCTCAGCCTTTCCTTGCAAGAGAGATGCTGCAGGCTCTTAATCATCTTTGTCACCCTCTGCTGGACTTGCTCCAGGAGCCCTATGTCTCATTTGTATTGGAAAGAGTGCACGAGGTGAGGCCTCACCAGGGCTGAGCAGAAGGGAAGGACCCCCTCCCTCCACTGCCTTTCCCCTGAGGACACCTTACTGGCTCACAGCCAACCTGGCTGACAGCAGAGCCAGACCTGGGGGGTCCAAGTGTGAATTTGTGAGGTTCTTTCCTCTGGCACCTCCCTGAGCAGGCGAGAGGCAGCAGCAGCAGGAGGTACAGCTGAGACCAGAGCACCCCAAATTGAAAGGCAGGGGTGTGCAGGTGAGAAACCTGCCCTGCGGGAGGGGTGGGGATGCTGGCAGCCCCCATCCTTGGGGGTGGGTGGTTGTGTGATTAGGACTTCTTGGGCCTGGTTAGAGGAGGGAATTTGGGGTTTCCCATTCTTTTGACATTTTAGGTCAAAAGTGTTCTGTCTATCTTGTCTTCCTGACACTGGGCCTCTGTATCAGTGCTCTCTGCTGGCTTTGATGCCCCTAGACAGATTTAAAGGACGTGCTGCCATCCTGATTTGCTTCAACAATATGAACAGAAAACATATTTCCCTGTGGTGAATGGCAACAACGCGGGTGCCCCGGGAGCCTGCCCAGGGCAGTGCAGAGCCAGCAGCCCCTGCCAGGCCAGAGACAGCCTGATCTGCCCCGTCTGCCAACATCCCGCTGGGACCAGCGCTGGGTTTTTCCAGGACAAAGACCTTTCCTGTGGCCATCTAACATCTCTTATCAGCTGTGGCCAGCAGGGGTGTCCAGCAGCAGCAGGGCATTGTGAGGGCTTGACGCATCCCTGGGGCAGTGTGATGCAATGCCCTGCAATCGGAGCAGGCAGGAGGTTCCTATGACACACCAGGGTCCGGGCCAGCTGGACAGACAGTGGCTCTCAGAGACAGACACACAAGTCCTGGGGGGTTGTAAGTGGCGCAGAAGAGACGTCAACCAGCCCTTCCAGCTGTGCCAGGTCACAGACCTTTTCTGGGAACGTCTTGCATCTGGCATTGGTCATGTTCGACAGGGATGGGGAGTGCTTCATCCTGTTCCTGGTAGGACACTTCCCTGGAGCACCACGAGCCTCTCCAGCTGCTGAGCATGCTGCCCGAGCCCAGAGCCACGGCTGGAGGTGACTGCAGGCCTTCCTCCCTGTGACACTGTTGTTGTTTAACCCCAGCCAGGCACCAAGAACCACCAGGAGCTGCTCACTCACCCCACCACGAGTGGGATGAGGGTGAAAGCAAGAAAACACATGGGTTGACATAAAGGAAGTTTAATAGGGAAAGCAAAAGCCATCCTGTAAACACAGCAAAACAAGAAATTCATTCACCACTTCCCATGGGCAGGCAGGGGTTTGGCCATCTCCAGGACAGCAGAGCTCCATCACAGGTAAAAGTGACCTGTAAAGACAAACACAATCACTCCAAAAGTTCCCCCTTTCTTTCTTCCTCCGCCTGCTTTATTTACCGAGCATGATGTCATATGGTATGGAATATCCATCGGGTGAGTTGGGATCACCAATCCTTGTTGTATCTTCTCCCAGACACCCACACACCTCCAGCCTCCTTATCAGCATGGCAGTACAAAATCCAGAAAAGACCTGGGCACTGTGCAGGCAATGTCAGCAATAACAAAAATACCTCTGTATTATCAACTGTGTGTTCAGCTCCAAAGGCAGTGCTCCATCATGCCCCACCTGGAGGTGGCATTGCAATGGGGAGGGCCTAGGTCTCTCCCAGTATCCCCCTCATGCTCCATTTTCTCTGCAGAAGATAAGGCTACAACTTTGCCCAGGCTGAGGAGGGACACAGTGGGCAGATCTGCTCTGAAATCCTGATGCTGGCTGCAGGGATTTGTGTTTGTTCCCTTTTGAGAACTTGGCAAGTGGCACTTGCTTCTGTAGAAACCAAGACTTTTGGTTGGAGTGCAATTAGCTCCTTGGGTGTCTGTGGCCAGACACCCAAATTGGGATTTGGGCAAGCCTTCCCCACAACCCACCATCCTCCTGGGGAGCCCATCCCAAGCCACAGCTCAGCAGGGGGAAATGTCAACCACATGTGTCTCCAAATGATCCCATGTTGTTCCCAGCACCTCCTGCTGACAGATCTCCACGTCTCTAGATTGCCCCAAACCCCTTGAAACTGTCCTTGTCCTCTCTTGAACCTGACCAGGACCCTTTCAGATGTGGGGTAGCTCTGGACCTGGGCCCCAGCTGCCCACTGCAGAGTTCCTGGCTCCCACAGTTACTCACTCAGCCCCAGGTGGCTGGACACCCTTTCCCTGCTGCCCATGCTCAGGCAGGACAAGCCCAAGTCAATGTGGTCTCAGCAGCTGGGAGAAATGGCCTGATCAGGAGAGAGGAGATGGTACTGGGGTCCCAGGGCGGTTGCTTTCCAGAGGTGCTTTGAGCTACAGCTCTGCTGCCCCTCACTGATGCATGACTGGGACACATTCACACTCTTTTGTGCACAGGAATCGGGCACCAGCTTTTACTGATGTTGCTGTCAACACAAGGAAGACATCTTTCAGCCTGAAGTTGTTGAGGCAAGGCTGCAGGTTGCACGTGCCCTGTGGTTGCACAGTGCTCTGAGATACCTGGTCTAGTGCAACATGTCCCAGCACACAGCAGGCCATTGCACCAGACGATCTGTGAAGATCCCATTCAACCCAAACCATCCCGTGACACTGTGATTCTTTGTCCCTTCAAATTCCCCATCATTGCCCTGGAAAGTCCCCTCCCCACAGAGCCAGTGTCCCCTTGCTTCACGCTGGGGCACTCCACCAGAGCCCCAACCAGCTGAAAGCACCACACAGACAAGTGGCTTCACAGGGCTTCTTTTATTAGCAAACACTGGGGGAAATACCCTTGGAGTCCAGGTACCAGCTGGAAAAGGGCTCAGCAGTTGCAAGGGACTGTTGGAGGTTGGGGCCATCGCACAACACCACCACCTTTGTGCTGCTCTTTGAAAATAAAGAGGAGGGCACGAGTCTGCAGCTCTTCCAGTGGAGTTCCCAGCACAGCCAGATGCTTCTTCCTATGAGGATAAGGCATCATCTGGTTCTCCAGTGTCAATGCCAGAGCTGGGAGATCAGCTGCCACAGTGCGAGGAGGGCGAGTGGGAGCGGGGAGCAGCCTGCGATGTTCAGTGATGGGACGTCTTCCACTCTGGGACACCAGCACTCATCCTGCAACGGCAGCTGTCCTTAACTCCAAGGGTCATCCCCGGCAGACACATAATCCACCAACCCTGGGTCCATAGACCCTGAACCCCTGGAGTCTCTGCATGGAGGGATGGGATGTGCCCACTCCTGCAGCATGGACATGGGTACCTGCCCCCATTTGAGGGGACAGTCCCCCTTTCAAGGCCCTTCCCAGGAGCTTCCCATCCCTGCAGTGTTGGGGACCTCTCCAGGGACACCACCCCTTGCCTTGCTGCCCCTGAGCTCTGTGTCCCCTCAGCTCTTACCTGGTGGCCAGGACAGGGTCACCAGCTGGGCTGCCCCTCGCTGAGGTTGATCTGCTCCAGGATCTGGCTGTACCTCCGGGTGAGGGCGTTGGTGTCCCTGGTGAGGTGGGTGAGGACCTGCTGCAAGCCCGTCAGGTGGTGGGACAGGCGCTCCTCCAGCTGGGCGTCCACAGCCTCGTTGCTGTCCGAGGATGTGTCCGTGTCGCTGTCGGCACCGGTCAGGCTCTGGTCATTGACAGAGGCCAGGCCTTTCTCCACCATGGGCTTGATGGCCTTGAGCAGCTGGTAGCGCTCATAGAGGTCCGTGTGGCTGCCTGCGGCTGGGGCCGCCCCCTCCTCTTGCGGGAAGACCCCTCGGAGCAGGCTGGGGAACATCACCTCCTGCTCCATCTTCTGGGTGGCTGAGAAGTACTGCTCCATGGCTCCTCTCCCACAGCTCCGGCAGTGCTGCTCTGGGCTCTTCTCAGGCTGCCTCCTGCTCCCCATCTCTGCCGGGGGCTTTTTGTGCACTGCCGGGGCACATCCCTCCTCTGCTGTCCCTCCTGCCTTGGTTGGGCTGCACGGCCATGGGGCCGGGCTTGGCTCCAGCCCAGCTGGAGCTCAGCCACGCCGTGTCCCTGGTTCTGTGCAATCTCTCCTGGCCCAGCCTCCCCGTGGCCTTCACCCGAGCTGGCTGGGGGTCCTGCCACATCCCCACGCCAGGAGCAGGGGAGCAGCAAGGAGGGAAGGTGCCTGGGGTCTTTCCCTCCGTCCCACTCCTACCCCTCAACATGTTCAGGTGTGGGGCCCTGTGAGAGTGGGTCCAGCTCCTGCCCGCTGGAGCTGGCAGTCTGCAAGCAGCTGTGCTGCCAGGGGGCCCTCACCTCCTCCTCTTCTTGCTGTCATGCGCTTGGGACGTGAACACTCCGGGGACATTGAGCAACCCCTGTCCATTACTGCCAGCCTGGACACGGCAGGAGACACTTAATGTGGAAAATATCACTGGGGGTGCACTGCTGCATGGAATCCTACATGGGGTCATGGGGACATGCGATGGACACAGAGGTGGGACCAAACACCACAATGGAGAACTCCTACAGTCATGGAATGGAGCCATCACTGCCCACAGTGGAGCACAGATGGTGCCACCATTGCCCCTGTTGTCCCCGTTCTGGAGCAGAGGCCATGGTTGGTCAGTGGCCAGATCTGCCTATCTCTTTGTATCTTGCAGGATGTGGCAACTGGAGGAAATTGTTCTATTTTGGGAAAGGCCATGGGGCCCTTCACCCCTTTTGCAACCCTCAGTGGTGGCAGCTCTCCCACTGACCCCTCATATTCCAGCCAGGTGCTCATTCTGCCACCTGCCCTCTCCCCCTCAGACCTGAACCCACTGCTCCTCTTGTTCCTTTTCGGGTGCCCCTGGCATCTCTGGCTGTCCTGCTGTGGAGCCCAATGTGGCACTGACATGTGCACACACTGACAGCCCCATGCTCTCGGGATGTCTGGCCACCATGGAGTTGCCTATAAATTCAAACCAGCACAGCCCAATCCAATCTGTCATTCACAATTTCATGGAGCACACATTCATTGACAGCCACTGTCAGCCTCTGCTGGGAGATGTCCTTTCTCCTGGGGACATGTGGGCAGGAGTCACCCCAACCAGCCCCTGGGAGGGGGCTTAGTGCCACGACTCCCCAGGACATGAAGTCCCTTCCCAGCCATGCTCTCAGTCCATGGTACATCTCTGACCCAGCATCCCCATCTCTCCGTGGGGCAGCTGGACCAGAGGTAGGCAAGGGCAAGGCTGTGTTCAGGACTCTGAAGCTGTGGCACCATGGTTCCCCTAGTGCCACTGGGGAATATGACAGCAGGAGGTGCCAGGGATGACACGGGGACACTTGGGGACACATGTGTGGTGGCACAGTCTACCTCTGATCTGTATCGGGGGATGGACTCCCTGGGATGGCAGCAGGTCAGGGACAGGCTTGCCCAAACATGGAGCCTGGGGCACCAGAGACCTGAGGATCTCATTGCATCTCCCAGGGGACCTGATTGCCCTGAGCAGCCTCTCCTGGGCCCCAGCCTGGGGCTGGGTCCGCCAGTTCAGCTCAGCCCAGACCCAGCAATGCTGCACCCCTGTAGTGGTTGTGCCATGCTCCAGCCACAGTCCCCCTCCTCCTGCTCCTGTCATCACTGCTAGCAGTGGCAGCTTCCCCCTGTCTCTCACAGCAGGATGTGGGAACCCTTTTTGGCTGATGGGGTCCCCAGAGGCACAGAGAGGATTCGGTAATTATTTATGTCCCAAGGATGGGGAGCTGGGGAGCAACTTGAGTCTGCTGAACCCCAGTCACCTGCAAATCTGCTGCCATGGTCACTATGAGCAGCTTGGGAAGAGGTGGGGGGAGCAGGAGGGCAGAGCATCCCCTGTGTCCCTCTGTCCCCAGAGCCCTGGGATGCCCCTGCACCTCCAAGAAGCTCTGTAGTGGCCCAGATGCTCTGATGTGGCCAAGCTCCCAGCTGGCACCTGTGTGGGGCCAGCAGCACCCACACACCTCAGTGCAGCACTGGGCCCCATGGCAGGACACCCAGAGATGCTGGGACACAGGGAAGGGACAAGAAGGGTGGTGGGGCAGGTCTGGTAGGGAAGAGGTGGCTGGCATTGTGGACACTTGGCTGGGACAAATGGGGACAGTGGGAGAGGTGCCACCACCAAGGGTTGCAAAGGGATGAAGTACCTCAAAGCCTTTCCACAAATAGAACAATATCCCGTGATTGCCACATGCCACAGGGACACGCGGGGGCAGGCAACTCCATGGTGGCCAAACATCCCGAGAGCATGGGGCTGTCAGTGTGTGCACATGTCAGTGCCACATTGGGCTCCACAGCAGGACAGCCAGAGATGCCAGGGGTACCCAAAAGGAACAAGAGGAGCAGTGGGTTCAGGTCTGAGGGGGAGAGGGCAGGTGGCAGAATGAGCACCTGGCTGGAATATGAGGGGTCAGTGGGAGAGCTGCCACCACTGAGGGTTGCAAAAGGGGTGAAGGGCCCCATGGCCTTTCCCAAAATAGAACAATTTCCTCCAGTTGCCACATCCTGCAAGATACAAAGAGATAGGCAGTTCTGGCCACTGACCAGCCATGGCCTCTGCTCCAGAACGGGGACAACAGGGGCAATGGTGGCACCATCTGTGCTCCACTGTGGGCAGTGATGGCTCCATTCCATGACTGTAGGAGTTCTCCATTGTGGTGTTTGGTCCCACCTCTGTGTCCATCGCATGTCCCCATGACCCCATGTAGGATTCCATGCAGCAGTGCACCCCCAGTGAGGTTTTCCACATTAAGTGTCTCCTGCTGTGTCCAGGCTGGCAGTAATGGACAGGGGTTGCTCAATGTCCCTGGAGTGTTCACGTCCCAAGCGCATGGCAGCAAGAAGAGGAGGAGGTGAGGGCCCCCTGGCAGCACAGCTGCTTGCAGACTGCCAGCTCCAGCGGGCAGGAGCTGGACCCACTCTCACAGGGCCCCACAACTGAACATGTTGAGGGGTAGGAGTGGGACGGAGGGAAAGACCCCAGGCACCTTCCCTCCTTGCTGCTCCCCTGCTCCTGGCGTGGGGATGTGGCAGGACCCCCAGCCAGCTCGGGTGAAGGCCACGGGGAGGCTGGGCCAGGAGAGATTGCACAGAACCAGGGACACGGCGTGGCTGAGCTCCAGCTGGGCTGGAGCCAAGCCCGGCCCCATGGCCGTGCAGCCCAACCAAGGCAGGAGGGACAGCAGAGGAGGGATGTGCCCCGGCAGTGCACAAAAAGCCCCCAGCAGAGACGGGGAGCAGGAGGCAGCCTGAGAAGAGCCCAGAGCAGCACTGCCGGAGCTGTGGGAGAGGAGCCATGGAGCAGTACTTCTCAGCCACCCAGAAGATGGAGCAGGAGGTGATGTTCCCCAGCCTGCTCCGAGGGGTCTTCCCACAAGAGGAGGGGGCGGCCCCAGCCACAGGCAGCCACACGGACCTCTATGAGCGCTACCAGCTGCTCAAGGCCATCAAGCCCATGGTGGAGAAAGGCCTGGCCTCTGTCAATGACCAGAGCCTGACCGGTGCCGACAGCGACACGGACACATCCTCGGACAGCAACGAGGCTGTGGACGCCCAGCTGGAGGAGCGCCTGTCCCACCACCTGACGGGCTTGCAGCAGGTCCTCACCCACCTCACCAGGGACACCAACGCCCTCACCCGGAGGTACAGCCAGATCCTGGAGCAGATCAACCTCAGCGAGGGGCAGCCCAGCTGGTGACCCTGTCCTGGCCACCAGGTAAGAGCTGAGGGGACACAGAGCTCAGGGGCAGCAAGGCAAGGGGTGGTGTCCCTAGAGAGGTCCCCAACACTGCAGGGATGGGAAGCTCCTGGGAAGGGCCTTGAAAGGGGGACTGTCCCCTCAAATGGGGGCAGGTACCCATGTCCATGCTGCAGGAGTGGGCACATCCCATCCCTCCATGCAGAGACTCCAGGGGTTCAGGGTCTATGGACCCAGGGTTGGTGGATTATGTGTCTGCCGGGGATGACCCTTGGAGTTAAGGACAGCTGCCGTTGCAGGATGAGTGCTGGTGTCCCAGAGTGGAAGACGTCCCATCACTGAACATCGCAGGCTGCTCCCCGCTCCCACTCGCCCTCCTCGCACTGTGGCAGCTGATCTCCCAGCTCTGGCATTGACACTGGAGAACCAGATGGTGCCTTATCCTCATAGGAAGAAGCATCTGGCTGTGCTGGGAACTCCACTGGAAGAGCTGCAGACTTGTGCCCTCCTCTTTATTTTCAAAGAGCAGCACAAAGGTGGTGGTGTTGTGCGATGGCCCCAACCTCCAACAGTCCCTTGCAACTGCCGAGCCCTTTTCCAGCTGGTACCTGGACTCCAAGGGTATTTCCCCCAGTGTTTGCTAATAAAAGAAGCCCTGTGAAGCCACTTGTCTGTGTGGTGCTTTCAGCTGGTTGGGGCTCTGGTGGAGTGCCCCAGCGTGAGGCAAGGGGACACTGGCTCTGTGGGGAGGGGGCTTTCCAGGGCAATGATGGGGAATTTGAAGGGACAAAGAATCACAGTGTCACGGGATGGTTTGGGTTGAATGGGATCTTCACAGATCGTCTGGTGCAATGGCCTGCTGTGTGCTGGGACATGTTGCACTAGACCAGGTATCTCAGAGCACTGTGCAGCCACAGGGCACGTGCAACCTGCAGCCTTGCCTCAACAACTTCAGGCTGAAAGATGTCTTCCTTGTGTTGACAGCAACATCAGTAAAAGCTGGTGCCTGATTCCTGTGCACAAGAGTGTGAATGTGTCCAACACTCAGCCCAGTCATGCATCAGTGAGGGGCAGCAGAGCTGTAGCTCAAAGCACCTCTGGAAAGCAACCGCCCTGGGACCCCAGCCCCTCGTCCAGACACAAAGCTCTGGGATACGCTGGAACTTCTCATCTCCTGATCAGGCCATTTCTCTCAGCTGCTGAGACCACATTGACTTGGGCTTGTCCTGCCTGAGCATGGGCAGCAGGGAAA